GGTGTATTTAAGGCTATATGCAAGGAAGGAGGGCATTCTACTGAGCTTGTCCAAGCTGCAAAAACTGTTCTTTAGTTTTTCCAAATTAATATTGATAGGAACCCAATGCACCATAGCCTGGTACAGGAGGAGAAGAGGCTTTTGGCAGCATACCTGGATGTTGCCAAAACAGAGGAGATGATCTACAAGCAAAAGTCTAGGATCCTATGGCTTAAAGAGGGTGATCATAATACAAGCTTCTTTTTCAAGACTATGATCAATAGAAGGAGTAGGAAGAAAATTATTTCTATAAAGAGAAGGGATGAGACCATTGTTGAGGTCAAGATTGAAGCAACTGACTATTTCAAGCATCTCTTGGGACAACCTAGTTACACCATGCTTGATAACCAGAGAATGAGGATTCTTGATTCAATGATCCAAAAGAAAGTCTCCATTCAGCAGTTTGTGGCAATGGTAAGGGATTTCACTAATGAAGAAATTAAGCGGGCTTTCTTTTCTATGAGTGACCATAAGGCTCCTAGCCTTGATGGTTTTAACCCCTATTTCTTCAAGAAGGCTTGGCCAGTTTTTGGTCAAGAGGTTATTGATGCTATAAAGGAGTTCTTCTCTCAAGGTAAGCTTCTTAAGGAATTAAATGCCACCATCATCACTTTGGTCCCTAAGGAGCCTAATCCTTCATCCGTGAATGACTTTAGGCCAATCTCATGTTGTAATACCATCTACAAGGCTTATTCCAAGCTCATTGCTACTAGAATCAAGGAAGTGATCCCTTATATTGTTGATCAAAGCCAACCTGCCTTCATCCCTGGCAAGAGTTTTTTAGAGGTTATCACAGGAATCAAGGAGCTGCAAGGTGTGCAATCAAAGTGGACTTGAGGAAAGCCTTTGATACTATTAATTGGGATTTCATAATGGACACTCTTGATGTTATGGGGTTCCCTCTCTTGATTAGAAATTGGGTTGGCAATGCATTTCAACGCCCAAGTTTTTTGTTCATGTCGATGGAGAACTTGTTGGGTTCTTTCCTAGCATGAGAGGATTAAGGCAAGGAGATCCTCTTTCCTCTTACCTTTTTGTGATTGCTATGGAGATATTATCTCTTACCATCAAGCACCATATTTCCTCTTCTGATTCCTTCAAGTTTCATTAGAGATGCAAGAAAGTTAAGCTCACCCATCTCATGTTTGCCGATGATATCTTGCTCTGTTGTCATGGGTATTTAGCTTCTACTAAGGTCTTCGAAGACACTTTGGACCAGTTCAAAGCATTATCTGGGTTGCAAGTTAATTAGGCTAAAAGTAGCCTCTTTATGAGTGCTATTCACAATGAGATTAAGGATTAAATTGTGCATCTCTTTGGCTTCACTTTGGACCAGCTCCCTGTCAAGTACTTGGGCATTCCCCTAATCTCCACTAGATTGAAATCCCTTCATTGTAATGATCTCACTATCAAAATTGAGAAGAGAATTAGATCTTGGAATAATATATTCTTGTCATTTGCTGGAAGATTGACTCCGATCCAGAGTGTTATCAACAGCATGCAGACTTACTGGTCTGCTCACTTATTTCTCCCTTCGCAAATCATTGAGAGAATTGAACAGCTTATGAGAAGATTTTTATGGAAAGAGACTGAAATGAGAAGCACTGGTGCTAAAGTATCATGGGAGGAGGTTTGTAAGCCAAAGGAGGAAGGAGGGTTAGGAATCAAAAGGATTAAGGATTGTAACATTGCTATGATGATGGGGTACATTTGGTTGCTTTTTATTGACATGCAAAATCTATGGGTGAAATGGACTCACATTTATCACTTAAGGGGCAGAAGTTTCTGGAGACTTAAAGCCACTCAATCAAGCTCTTGGAATTGGCAGAGTTTGCTTAAATTAAGATGCTTAACTAGGCCATTCATCAAGCATGTGATTGGGAATGGGCAAGCTACAATGCTTTGGTATGATAATTGGCATCCTATGGGGCCTCTGGATTCATTTGTCAGTATGAATGGATTTGAGGACCTTCACCTCAATGTGGAGGAGCTTGTTAGCAGTATTATTAACAATGGCCACCAAATTCCACTCTCATCCAGGCTATGGTTAACTCCATGCCTACCTACCTACCCAATCCTACTAATGAGGATACTGTCAAGTGGACCCCCAATAACAGAGTGGGATTCAGGTCCAATTCTACTTGGGATCACATCAGACAAAGGGGATCCCCTGTTTGTTGGTTTAAGCTGGTATGGTCTAGGAAATCCATCCCTAAAATGTGCTTCATTCTTTGGTTGGCAACAAAGTGCAGGCTCAGCACACTTGATCGATTGTAATTTTATGCTGCTCACTTGGGAACAGGTTATATTCTGTGCAGGAATTTTCCTGAAACTCTTCCTCATTTATTCTTTGCTTGATCGTATTCCTCTAATGTTTGGTCTGCTACTTTCTCATTTACTGGGGAGGTTTGGCAGACTAAACCTTGGGATGACTTTGTGGATTGGGCTATTACTAACTGGAAGGGTAATTCGATGAAGAACTTGATTTGCAAAATATGCTTGGTTGCCACAGTTTATCATTTATGGATGGAGAGAAATAATAGAAGATTCAAAAATTAGTACAGCGATTCAAGCACTGTTACCCGCCTTATATTGCTGACAGTGTGGAGTCGATTGGCTTCTCTAAAATTCAAGGCATCAGGTAGCAACGTCCAAACAGTTCAGAAGTAAAGACTTCCTTAAAGCTGTCTCTTCTAATCCTCTACCCTGTTCTAGTGGATTCCTTTGCTCTATTTGGGTGGTATTTGTCTGGAAGTGGTCAATCACTTACTTCCCATTGAATCCCACCTTGTTGGATTCTTTGGTAGCCCACCTTGCTATCTTTTGTGTTCTGATGTAGCCCACCTTGCTGTCTTTGTGTTTTTATTGCTGCCCTGTTGCCACTGTTCACCTTACTGTGCAGCTGGTTTCTGTGGCAGCTACAACTAGTTGTTTCATTGGTTGCTATCTTTTGTGACTGTTAGGTTGGTTGCTGTATATTTTTTTTCGTTGTCTTTGCACCTTTGTAAATGTTTTCCATATGCAATATATTTTACTTTCCAAAAAAAAAAAACTTAAATAGGTACATGACTCTTGTATCCTATAAATACCCCAGTACTCTTGTCATTTTTTCTAAAGTGGAATCAAATCTTCAAGTGTATTGCTCTTAATCACCACTTCCTCCATTGTGTGCTGAGTGTGTTCCTTTTCTAGATTTTTCAACAACGTGGTATCAGAGGCTGGTTTCTATATAAACTTGGGAGTCTATAAGTAACCAATCTTGTTGGCAAACATGGCATCATGAACGAGTATTGGAAGTGCAAATCCAATTCTTCCATTTTTGATGGAGAAGATTATGAACATTGGAAGGTCAAAATGAGGACCCTCCACAAAGCAAAAGGGTTATTGATTATTGTTGAGAAAGGCTAAATCGAGCCAGAAGATGAAAGTCCACTCCAACAGGATGAACTAAAGAAACTTGAGACGAATCAAAGAAATGAATCAAGTGAACTCAACGAAATTCAATGTGGAGCTTCCAAAAGCAATTTTCTCAAGGATCATGGGTATTACGACATCCACGGAAGGGTAGGATTTCTTAAAGCAAGAATTTCTTGGCAACAAGAAGGTAAGAAATGTCAAAGTTCAATTCTTATGGATAGACTTTCAAAATCTTAAAATGAAAGATTCAGAAACTGTCAAAATATTTTCTAGAGTTATTGAAGTTTTCAATCAAATGAGGACGATGGATGAAGATATTTCAGATCAGAAAGTTGTTGAAAAAAGTCTAAGTAGGTTGCTTGAAAATATGAGTATATTGTTGTTGCCATTGAAGAGTCCATAGATCTTAGTAACTTGTCCAATCAAGAATTGATGGGTTCATTACAGTCCTATGAACAAAGAAGATTGAAGCACTCTGAACAGTTGGTGGAAAGTGCATTCCATTCCAAGTTCAACTTGAAAAATTTCTCAAAGAAGGGAATTCAAGCAATTAGAAGAAACAAAACACACTCAAGGATGAAGGAGCATGATTCCCAAAGAAAAGAAGGAGAAAGATATTTAAAGAGTACTTTTTCTCACAACTCTAAGTTTCCTTGCAAGATTTGTAAGAAAAGAAATCATTCTACCTCAAATTGTTGGTTTTGTGGAAAGACTCAAGTGCTCTCACTACAAGAAGTTTGAACACATAGAGAAATATTATAAATGCAAGTTAAAGTATTAGGAATTTTGTTTTCAAAAAAAAAGAAGATGAAAACTTATTTTAAGAATTTTTTTTTTCAAAATGTAAACTTGTATTAAGACACAAAAAGGTGCAAAGGTACAAATGAAAGCTTGTACAGTCAAGTTATGATCAATACACCACAAGAAAAAGCAAGGCCAACAAAAGAAGGCATTAAGATAGAAGTAGAGAAAATAACTTTACTTCCCCCCCTAATCCCATCCCTGGGCAGTAGCAAAACACAAAAACTCTCAATCAAGACAAACAGTGGAGAGGTTCCAATGATGCACTAAGAGCAGATTTGGAGGCCTGGCCTTGAACTTAAGCAGATAAAGTTTTCTCTAATAGTTGTCTGAATCTTGACAAGTAAACTTTGTTGGGAAGTAACCAGATTGTTAAAGATCCTATTGTTTCTCTCACTCCATAAGTTGTAAACAGTGACGGAGAGGTAGAGCTTGAGGAGAACAACCTTCAAAGATTTTCCATTCCAATTAACACTTGCCCATGAAATGAAGTCATTCCATTGGAGAGCTTGAGGTTGCTGGATATAATGTTGCATTTGCTGAGTCCAAATACCAAATGCATAGGAGCACTCAAAGAACAAATGATGATGAGATTTTGGGAGTTGAGGACATAAAGAGCAAGTGATGCCCACTTGTGGCATATACGATGAAATCCAATTCTTTGTACTTAATATATTTATGATAGCCAACCAAAAAATGAGACTCATTCTAGGTATGAGATGTCCATGCCAGACTAGTTTCTACTAATGTACTTTAGGGGATTGGGACCTAATGATGTTCCAACCAGATTCAGTGGTGAACCTGTCATTCGACTTGGGGGTCCATTTGACAGAGTCTTCCTTCATAGAATCTAGTGAGTAATTAGGTATACAGCTGTTGAAATCATCCACGTCCGTAGATTTGCCCACAGACCAGACCCATTGATTGTTAACTATGATCAAAGACACTCTGGCATCCTTCGGAAGTCTTGATGTGTTGGTGATATGTTGGTTCCCTACACCCAATAAAGGCCCTCTAGGTGCCAATTGTCAAACCATAAGGAAGTATTAGCACCATTTCCTATAATGTGCATCAAGTGAGGTCTGATTTGGTCCCTGAGCTTGAGCATTTGGATCCAATTCTAGGAGATAGGCTGTGATGTCTTTGCCTCCCATAGACTTTTACCATGTAAGTGATAGGAATGAATCCACATACACCAGATATTTTGCTTATTTATAAAAAGTTGCCATAAATACTTGAGCATTAAGGCATCATTGAATTGCCTCAAATTCTTAATAACTAAACCTCCTTCCTTTTTATGCTTACAAACATCACTAAAAGCAAACTTAGCACCAGAGTTGGTGAGCTCAGTACCCCTTCATAAGAATCTTCTTAAAAGCTGTTCAACCATATCAAGAAGCTATTGGAGAAGTTTCAGATGAGATGCCCAGTGAAGTTATAAGCTAAACAACACAGAATGGATCCATTAAAGTCTTCCTGCATAAGACAAGCTCCTATTGGTCCCGCTATTGATCATGGCTTCAGTTTTTTCAAGTAGAGAATAACAATGGGTAGCTTTAAGCCTAGAAGAAATTAGAGGAAAATCCAAATATTTGATAGGCAATTCACCTTCCTTGAACCCAAAAACAGCCTTTATAGAGACCCTCACCTCTTCACTAACAGAAGACAAGAATATGTTACTCTTCCTGGGTTTAGCTTGAAGACCAGTCGTATGCTGAAAGAAGTCCTAGCCTTCCTTGAGTAATCTAGTAGACCTATTATCCCCAAAACAAGAAAGGAAGAGGTCATTTGCAAAGATGAGCTGGGTTAGATTAATCTTTTTGTATCTCCAGTGGAATTTAAAGCTTTGACTAGTAGAGATTAGGTGATGGTTGATGAGAGTGATAACTTCCATGGCCATAATAAAGAGATAAGGGGAAAGATGGTCTCCCTATCTAATACCTCTAGAACTACAGAAGAATCAAACAGGTTCTCCATGAAGATTAATTGAAAACTTGGGAGTAGAAATACAGATTTTTATCTACGATCTAAGGATAAGGGGAAATTTGAAGGCATCCAAGATATCAAGTAAGCATTCCCACTTCAAAGTGTCAAAAAGCCTTCATGAGGTCAACCTTAACTGCACATCTGGGAGTCGCATTACTCTTATGGTAGTCTCTCAGAATTTCTTGTTTGAGAAGGATATTGTCTCCAATTTTACTTCCAGGAATAAAGGCTGCTAGATTGTTTCTTATTATATTTCGCAAGACACCCTTGATCCTATTTGCAATGATCTTAGCAATTGCTTTATAAAAAAACATTGAACATGACATGGATCTGAAGTCCCTTACAATTGTGGGATTAGGGAACTTTAAGACAAGAACAATTTTAGTGTTGAATTCCTTAAGGAGGCTCCTGGAGGTGAAGAATTCCATCACAGCTCTTGTGATATCTTGGTCTATGATAGACCAATATTTCTTTTAGAAACACCCATTGAAACCATCAGGACTTGGACATCTGTTATCATTGAAAGAAAAGAAAACATCTTTAACTTTATCAAGAGTGATATCTCTAGATAGAAAATAGGATTGCTCGGATGAAATCTTGTTTTGAATAACCTTGCTCAACAAGATCTTCCTATCAATAGAATCTATATTTGGGAAAGAACCCCCAAGAAGTTGAGTATAGTAATCAACCAATTCTTTTTTCACCTCAGATTCATTACAAGCGAGAGACCCATCAACTATTCTTAGAGAAATGACCTTTTTTCCTGTTTCTTCTATTGGTAAGAGTCTTGAAAAAATAGACAGTGTTATTACCACCCTCTTAAAACCACTTGACTCTAGATTTTTGTCTATAGAAGCTTTCCTTTTTTAGAGCAGCTTTAGTGAACTTGAGCATATGAAGTTCCTCTTGCTTCTTGAGTATGGTGTTAAGGAGGTCAAGAACAAGCTAGTTTTGGTAAGTTACAAGCTCCTCTCTGGCCTCGTTAATTCTCATAGAATCACCCATAGACTCTTTCCCCAATAACTTTAAAGTGACTTTGAACTTTTTTAATTTGGTGGACACTTGGAATTGAAGAGTACCTTGGACCTCTTCTCTCTGAACTTGAGCAATAATGTGAGAAAATTCTCCCTTTCAATTTGGAAATTGAAAATTTTAAATGGAAATTTGCCTCTAACTTTATGGGGACCAATCCTAACTAAAATTGTGCTATGATCAGATATTCCTAGAGGCAAAAATTCTGCTACGAAAAATTGAAATTTTTGGAGCTAGTGTTCATTGACAAGTGCTCTGTCCAGTTTCCTCCAAACAATGTCAAACTCATGTCTATTGTTGCACCAAGTGAAAGAATGTCCAGAATATCGTAGGCCTGCAAGAGTAGCATTTTGCAAGCATTCATCAAATTCCTTAATGGCAATCGTTCTTCTCCCAGAACACCCCATAGATTCATGAACTCCTCTAATAATATTGAAGTCTCCCAAGACAAGCCAAGGAGTTGGGGCAGCAATGAAAACAAAATACCCGAGGTCACCCTAAAGTTTCTTTCTATCTTGGTCATCGTTGGCCCCACACACAAAAGCCACATAGAAAGTTAAAATACCATCAATGGACTGTACATTGCATAAAATAAGTTGATCAGTTTCTGTAATTTTATTAACCTTCAAAACATTTGGGTTCCACTGAACCCAAATTCTACAAAAGGGTGACTACTATAGTTAGAGGTTGAATCTCATTGCCTAAAAATATTTCTCAAAATAAAGTCTTTATTTACAGGTCTCACTTTAGTTTCCACAATGCCAATCATATCAAGGTGTTATTGACAATGGTTTTTCTTATTTCTTGTTTAATGGGGTCATTTAAACCCCTAATGTTCCAACAAGATATGTTTAACATGGAGAAATAGAGATAGAAGGGCAAAGGGGAACCTCCTTAGTTCCACCCTTAACTTTTTTGCTCTTAACTTTCTTCTTCTTGACTTTCCCAATTAGCTTTCTAGGGGATTTGAGTATCTTATAGGACCCCTCTTGCTTTTCAACAACATTAGGATAAAGCTCCACTACAAGTTGTCCTCCTTTAAGATCAAGACATCCAAATTTGTTTGGGGATATGGGGGCAAGTGGAAGGCACACATCAGGTACATTATCAATAACATAGATAGAAGTTACCATATTTTCCCGTAGAGGAAGACCCTCTGAATGCATAAGGTCCACAAAGCTAGACCCTGGATTGTTGATAGAAGAGTTTACCAGAGGCTGGTTTGCAGTCATAGGAGGGTCAACTATTACCGTGGAAGTAATGGTTTTCCTTTTTTTTTTTTTTTATGATATTTGTTTGCTGCTTCCCACTGTTGGATTGTGTTTGTGTTGTACAAGATGTAGTATTATGCACAAAAATCTTACAATGGAGATACTACTTAGGCTTCCATTGGTACTCAACTTTGATTTCAAGCAACTCACTAGAGTCACTAGAGCGTACAACCAAATTAAAGGAATTAACTAGTTGCTCAGCTGCATTAACTTTCATACAAACATGAGTGAAAGAAATCCTCTTTTTAGTGGAGGTAAGGGTGTTAGCATATAATGGTTTACCCATAGCACTAGCCAAGTGACTAAGTCCTTCCTCACTCCAAAATTGGAGAGGTATATTATGTAGCTCGAACCATACATGGAGAACAAAGAGGTCCTCCTTAGCCATCATGAAACTAGGATGCCATTTCTTTAGGATCAAAGGTCTTCTAGAGAAAAGACATGAACCAGCTTCTATCACCCTGACTCTTGCCTCCTCATCCATGAATTTGAAGAAGAAGAACTCACTGTCATAGCGTAGATCTCTAACAAACCCAACTTATCCCACATCTTTTCAGCCAAGAAACTCACAGTAGAAAATGAAAGTCTCTTCTCAATGAAATAGTCCTCCAAGCAGGTTTGTCAATCCCTGTTACCTTGAGTAGCTACTTTCTTGGGGGAGGGGCTGCAAAATAATCCTAGATTCATGCCTGATAGATTCAACAAATACGAGCTTTAGTTCTTTCGCTGGGTTAGAAGAGTTGCCAGCCCTTCCTAAACTCAAAACTTGGTTCCAAGGTGTACGATAGGTATGGGGTTGTCTTCCACCTTCAGTCCCACCGCTCGCCTCTACTCGTACCATTGCTAGAATCATTAAGGGAGGTTTTCCCCTTAGTGAGGTTGGGCTTGGAAACCCTTTGCTATGGTTGTTGTTGTAATTGGTTCCTTCTGTGAAGAAATTTCACCATTTGAGGTAGCTTCCTTCATTTTGCAATTGTCGGCAGTGACTTTGCCTCCCAAATTTGGTTCATATCCATTAATGCAAGGAGCATTAATGCTGTCACCCATGAGTAGTTGGGGAAATAAATAAAAAGGAATGGTTTGTAAAAAGAAATGGAGAGGAGAAAAGGAGAAAATAGGTACAGATTGAAGACGAAATCTTGACTAAAATGTGGGGGTTAGGGTATAAAAATAGAGCAATCGAAACAGAGCAAAGAGAAAGATCAATGTGAACAGAAGGTTGAATAGTTGGTGAAGTGGGTTCGATGAGAGGTGAGATGTGGTAGAATGGGTTGGCGGTGAGCAAGAAACTTAGGGCATCAAGGGGATTGGGAACGAAGATGTGACATAGCTGTAAGTGTAATATTTTAAGAATGTTAGTCGGCCTTGCATGACAAGAAATAAATTTGGAACCTTGACAGTCACTTTAGCAATCACATGTCAAGGGATGAAAAAGTATTCCTCAATGTTGATACCATGAGGTAAGAATGGAGAAAAATAGGAACTTTCCTATTAAATTTTACTTTGAAGCCTTGTCACTACGATGTGAAGTACTGGAGGATTCATGGCTATGGCACCAAAGATTTTGCCACCTGAATTTCATGGGCTAAAGATGCTTGAATAGAAAAATATGGTACGTGGATTATGAGAGATTAAAACAAGGATGGACCCTTGTAAGGAAGATCAAGTCTCATTTCATGAGCAACACCAAGTCTCATTTCCTAAAGGAAGGTCATGGAGAACATAAGCACCATTAGAGCTTGGTTATGCAGACATTTGTGACAAAATGACGACTCCTTTAAGTCAAATCATATACTTTCTTATCTTTATTGATGATTATGCACGACTTGGATATATTTCTAAAAGAAGAAAGCTATGAATTTTCTAGGTTTCAAGAGATTCAAATCCTTTGTTGAAATGCAAAGTGGTCATGCCAACAGTTGGATATAGCCCACAATAGAATGGAATCGCTGAGAGATAATCAAACCACTGTGCAAATGGCAGGGTTAATGATGAATGAGAAAGGACTACCAAAAAATTTATGGGTAGAAGCTTTCAACACTACTGTCTACATCTTGAATCGATGTCCTCCTAATGTAGTAAAGAACAAGACCCCAGTTGAAGCATGGAATATGATCAAGCCATCGGTAAAGCATTTCAAAAATTTATATGCTATGCTATGCTCATATTCCTTCTGAAAAATGATCAAACTTTGATGAGAAAAGTGAGAAATGCATATTTTTGGGCATATAGGTCGGAGACTAAGGGTTTTCAACTATATAATTTTGAGACTAAGAAGCTAATAAAATGCAAAGATATTGGTTTGGATGAAAAAGATGCCTGAGATTGGAAAGGAAAAAAGTGTGGGAAATTCTATACTTCATTGTTCAAGGGCAACAAAAGTTTCTAAGTGCAAGAGAAGAAGAGTTCCATCTGACTCCTACATCACCTTCAAGCTCAAGTTCCAGTGAAGATGCTTCTTTAGAGAATCTCTCTTCCCCAGAATCTCCTCCAAGAAAAAACAAGAACATTGAGGGAAATATATCAATCCTACAGTTTTTCAATGATTGAACCTAAAAGTTGAGAAGAAATAGTAAAGCAAGAGGTTTGGGTAAAGGCAATGTAAGAGGGGATTAATATGATTGAGAAAAGCAGCACTTTGGAGGTTGACTTGCCAAAAGGAAGAGAAATTGTTGGAGTAAAATGGATACACAAAACAAAGCTCAATCAAGATGGAAGTGTGCAGAAGCACAAGGCAAGACTTGTAGCAAAAGAATTCACACAAAAACTAGGTAAAGACTTCTTTAAGACATTTTATCTAGTTTCAAGACTCGAAACAATAAAAACTTTGATTTCTCTTGCTGCTCACAAGCAGTGGAAAAATTTTCAGCTTGATGTTAAATCTGCCTTCTAAAATGGAAGGCTTGAAGAGGAGATATATGTTGACCATCCTAAAGGCTTTTGAAAGGGAGAGGAAAAAAATTTTATAAGCTAAGGAAGGCCCTCTATGGGCTGAAATAAACACCCCATACCTACTATAGTGAACTTGACACCTACTTCACCAAGAAAAGGTTTTCAAATGAGAAAAAGTGAGCCTATTTTGTATCATGAGAAGAGATGCCCGTATTCCGTGTCTATGCAGATGACTTGATTTTTAGGCATTGACCAAANACACCTACTTCACCAAGAAAAGGTTTTCAAATGAGAAAAAGTGAGCCTATTTTGTACCATGAGAAGAGATGCCCGTATTCCGTGTCTATGCAGATGACTTGATTTTTAGGCATTGACCAAAACATGATGCAAGAACTCACAAGAGAGGTGAAGCAAGCTTATGAACTTAGTGACTTGGGAAAGTTACACTATTTCTTGGGGATCGAAGTATCTCAAGTGGAAGGAAGCACTTTCATTTTTCAAAAGAAGCACACAACGAATATTCTTCATAGGTTTAACATGGAGAATTGCAAGAGTGTTGGTACTCCTTTAGTTGTGAATGAGAAGTTGAAAAATGAAGATGATGCTATAAGTTGATACTTTGACACATAGAGGTCTTATGGGTAGTATACTATACCTCACTGCTACAACACCTGGCATTATGTTTGTTGCAAGTTTACTTTCTAGATTTATGCAGGAGTCAAGTCAAATTCATTCGGGAGTTGCTGAAAGAGTTTTGAGATACTTGCAAGGCACACTTGACTATGGGATTATGTACAAGTTAGTTATGATCTATTCTGACAGTGATTGGGCTGGCAACTAGGATGACATGAACAGCACATCAGGGTATGTTTTATATCTTAGTTCAGGCATATGTCTTGGGGGTCGAAGAAACAAAATGTTATAGCACAATCTTCAACAGAAGCAAAGTATACGACATCAACCAAGGCTACTTCACAAGCCATGCAGCTTCAACGAATCTTAGACAACATGGGTGAAATCCAAGGGCAAGGAACAATTTTATATTGTGACAACAAATCAGCAATTGCCATGGAAAAGAATCCAATAAGTAAGGATCAAGCAAAGCATATTGCAATAAAGTATCACTTCACCAGAGAAGCAGTAGAAAAAGGAGAGAAACAACTCATGCACTACAATTTTGACCAAGGCACTTCCTAGAGACATATTTTTCTATCTCGAAGAATCGAGGGGAATTACCAAAATCAAGTTTAAGGGGAGTGCTAGAAATTAAACTTGATTTAGATGGGAAAGACTTTTAGTACATTTTAGAAAGGTAATTGTACTTGAAGTCTCAAAAGTATGAGGTTTGTCTTATTTTGGTCCCCAATATTTTAATTGCATCATTTTGGTCCCTAAAATATCGAATATGTTTCTATATGGTCCCTCAAATTGATAGCCTCCAGATTTTTAACGATTTTTTATCGTAAACTTGTCACGTGATACTTGAATATGAACAAAAAAATAATTTGAATAATTCTTAACCAAATTTCTACTAAATTTTTTGTTAAATAGCTACTTAAATTACATAGTTTTGATCGTGAACTATCCAAATTTTAGTCAAAAATTATTCATATTACANTGTTAAATAACTACTTAAATTGCACAGTTTTGATCGTGAACTATCCAAATTTTAGTCAAAAACTATCCATATTACACATTTTTTTTGTCAAGAGTTACTCAAATTTTATTTAAGAGCTATCAACATTATTTTTGGTCCATATTTTAGGTGACAAGTTTATGATAAAAAATCGTTAGTAATCTGGACATTGTCTGTTTGAGAAACCATATAGAAATATATTCGATATTTCAAAAATCAAAATGATGTAATTAAAACATTAAGGACCANCCTGTTTAAGAGACCATATAAAAATATATTCGATATTTCAAAATCAAAATGATGTAATTAAAACATTAAGAATCAAAATAAGATAAATTTCATACTTTAGAGACCTCTAGTACAATTTAACTTTTTTAGAAAATACTAGACAAATTGAAATTAAAAGTCATACATGTATGTTAGGGTTCATGTA